GTATTTTAAGAAGGTAATTTTGAAAGCTGCTCGAACGAAATTCCAATTATTAATTTCCCCGACCAGCGTTACCAAAATTACAATTATTTTAAACGATACGATCGCCGAATAATTCATTCGAGGTTGAAATTTCAAATAAGGCGCGGTACATAATTTCACTTGTTTATCGTGTTCAATACTGCGAATAATTAATTTCCGCGATACAAATTTCAATATTCACCACTATCGGTCCTCTCGTCATTTTCCGCGCGCTTAACGCGCAAGTTTCGCTGAATTTATTTATTTATCTGTTTACACGGACGTGGAGCGGGTTTGTGTAGAAAAGAGCAGACGAAGTATCGTTCGTTACGAGTAAACAGAAAAGTTACATTAACTGGGAAATTGATGTTGAATTTATATTCCCCTTGGAATTAAGTTCAATCTATGTTCTTCTGTAATCTCATGTATAACTATATTCTACTTTCTATATTAAACATTTCCCAAATGTCAAAATGTTTTTACAAGGTACAAATATTGTCTGTAGCTGTTGAATAATTTGGGAATGAAAGGGTTACATACAAAATGCATTTTGTACACCGTGATCAATAAAAAATTCAAATGCATTTTTCCCTAACGCAATTTCGTTATTTTTTATTTTCGTCTTATTTTGAACCGTTTGTACCATGAGTTACGGTCCACCCTGTATATTCAAAATCATTTTTCTCAGAAATTAAGCAAGCAATTAAACAACTTTATTCAACATTTTTTGCTTATTTTTCTATTGCAAGTAATTGCTTCCTTATCGGTAGTACTACGTTTTATCGAACACCCTGTATATACCAGCACTAATATCTCATGCAGATCGTATCTCTCTATAGACGTTTTGAAGAATGTGAAAAGGTCTGAAAATAAATCAAAGGAAGTTACACATTTTAATATAGAATTACAATGAATTTACATATCTTTCTCAAATCGTCCAATTAAAGCTGAAGAGTCAAGGGGAAAAATAACGAGGGTCCATTTTTTGCCTATTATAATATTTGAATACATATGAATATATTTTTTACTGTAGAAATTAGGAAACAAATGGAAATACTAAATTATTGCCATTTAAAATGCAACAGTACATAAAAAAAAATGATGAGAGTATCAATGTTTGTGCAAAAAAAAAAAAAAAGGATAAGAGTCTTTGTGCTATTTCACGCATTTTTTTAGTGTGACTGTAAAATCAGTGTTAATGAATTAAATAAGTTTTGAAGAATCAACATAAATCTTCAATGTGTAAAGTTAATTTTTACTCGAGATAAAATTCAGCGGACCCTGATCCTTTTTCCTTGTACTCTTCAATTTATCGGATGTAAAGGGTGACCGTAAAGTAAGTGTTAATTACTTAAATAATTTTTGAAGAATCAGTATAAATCTTCAATATTTAAAGTTAATTTTTACTCGAGATAAAATTCAGCGGACACTGATCCTTTCTCCTTGTACTTTTCAATTCACATTATTCACCGCGTAGTGCATACAGTGTGCGTGCACGTGTACACGTCGAAACAAAAAGCAAAACACCATTTTCGCAAAATTAAATCCTCATTTCGATATCGTTCAACAGACCTCCCTGTGTTTCCCGGCGCTGGTTTAATTCTGCGAGAATGTTCGCCGCAGCTTTCACAGAGAAGCGAAAGCGGAACAGAGACGGAGGGGAAAAAGAAAAAAAAAGGAGAACAAATAAATACAAACAAAAAAGGAACTCGAGAGTACAATAGCGTTCGATTTTATTGGCCCTCTCTCGATGCGTGTTACGCGCGCACACCATTTCCCGGCCCACACTCCGGGGAATCGTACGCGTTTTTTCAACCCCCCATCCGCCTATCATACAGGGTGTCTGCTTTTTATGATTCGACCACTGTCGCCTCGAAACGAGCCTTGTTCGAAAATAGGAGCCAGATTTACGGAATTACGTTGGTGTTTTTTTGGAAGTTGTTCTATGTTTTTCCGGGTATGTTTATGGATCGGGTTGTTGTCCGTGCATTAGGTTTTGTGTGTATATTAAGTTAGGTTATGTGTATGTTAAATTAGGTTAGGTTGCTCGTGTCGTTATTATATTGGGATAATTTAGTGCGAATTATGCATTAAACGTAAATTTAGGGAAATGTACGAGATTGTATGTATATTTACCTGTTTTACATGATTAATCAAGAATAATAAAAATACATACGTGAATTTTTAGCAAATTGCTGCTTCAGTTATTTTTTTTTTTTTTTTAGATCAAGTTTTATCAGTGTTATTCGAGGTTTAATAATGAAATGGTAAGGTTCAAGGAATTTCATACTTATTCGCATATTTGTTCAAAATATTAACGATATTTAAATCTAATTGGAAAATTTGGGATTATTATTTGGAGAAAATTTGTGACAAAATATTAAATAGATATTTAAGAAATGTAATTGAAAGAAGAATTATAAGCAGATTTGAGTCTTCCACAATAAAGACATTACCAAAAAAGAAACTCAATTCACCCTCTAATAAAAATGCCAATACCAATAAAATTAAACTAAAAACTAAAACTAAACTAATTTCTATCAATAAATAAATTATCAAAAAAAAAAAAAAAAAGAGTCAATTCTCCCTCTGATAAAAATTTCACCCCTAAGATATGAACACACGAACGAAATTAAACCATCCCGAGTAATATTCCCAAATCCAGCAATAACCCACTCGTAACCCAATTTGTCCAAAATGTCCCCGGACGTTAAAACCACCCCCTCGGTGCATTTTCTATTCACACCGATCCAGACAATATTCACTTATTTACAACGAATAAGGACCGTGAAATTCGGAAGGAAGAGAGGAATTCTGTGCGAAGGGTGGCCAAGTCAGGAGAGGCAGTCCGTTGCAAGTTTAAATTTGCACTTGGCACCTGATCGGCTGACGTAGCAGGGAGCAAAAGGGGTGTGTTAGCCATAGGGGAGGGGGTATAATTCGCTCGATTATTTAATAGCCTGGCCTGGCGCCTGGTTACAACATTGAGCAGCCCTGGCCCACGGATTCTCCGGTTGCAATCTATATTAAAGCCTCCGTGGCGAATTACTCATTAGTGGATTAACGAGCATCACGATGCCAGTGTTAATTGGAGTTTACCATAGAATTTCAAGATATTGTAGTGTGTGTGTGTGTTTGTGTGAATGGTAAAATTCACACGTGAGAACTGAGTAGGGGAAAATTTAAATACAATCTGAGATGTGAAATATACATGGGACGAGAGTAAAGTGAGATTACTGATTTATAAGGTATTCGCGAATCTAAATCACGGAGGGGGTGGCGCAGATTATTGCAGACTGTGCATCGGGGGTCATGATGTGATTTAGATTACGGTGTCAGAGATTATGGGGTGATACAGATCGTTCTGCGATAAATTACATTATAATCCAGATTATTCTGTGATGTCTCACCCTGTAAGCCACTGTGTCAAGTTAGCGGGTGTTTGTTATACAGGGTGAACAAGAAATAATTATGTACGGATCGGTATTATCTCCGTGGAGGTACGTTTTGTCGAGACTGTAGGCTGTTCGGTTGGATTTGAACTGATAACTATTTCGTCTTTCGTCGTTGGCGATATACTGGGTGGACTGATAATTCTGTCCACCTGGAATGTTTTTCTTACTTTTGTACTCCAAGCAGTTTTTGATAAGATTAGATAGCAACTTTAGTGAACTTTTGCTGTGAAATTTTTGAAAATATAAAGATTTGTTAAGAAAAAACAGATTTTTAATATTTAAGTTGCATTTTTTTGTAATATTAAAAAACTTGAATTTTACATTTCTAAGTTCTCTAGAGGAATGAAGTATGTCGCCATAACAGCGCCTTTGGAGTGCAAAGGGTTAAGAAAATATGGAAGTCTGGACTTAAATTTCGTCGTTGGTGATATACTGATAATTCTGTCCACCTGGAATGTCTCCATTATTATTGTAGATATGGAGAAACTTTATTTGCAAAACGGTGTCCAATGTGTAACTTTTGTGTGAATAAATAAAAATAGAAGGATTGTAATTAGATAATTGCTAGGAATTCCAAAAGAATTTCCTTTTCAAATTTTGCATTTTCCCCAAAATAATTGCACTAGCATTTATAGAAAATAAAAGGCAGAAATGCAAATGATCTATATAGAAAAATTTTAATGCAAATTGAACCATGTTCATGTGCAAGCATGATAACAAAGCAATACATTTGCTTCTAATTTTATCCATATTCGTGTAAACTGATATAGAACGTCAACATCAGAAGTCCAGCTAATTATCGCTCGTGCAGAGTATCAGAAAGCTAATAGAGCTAACTGCTCGAGGCTGACATGACGTTTGGCGGAAGAAGCTGACAGCGTTTCGTCGAGCGAAATCGCGTAGTTCCGTGTTACATGAAACTCCCTTTCCCTCGTCTATTTCTTTATCGGCTTCTTTATCTTCTCCCTTCTTCCTCCTTTCTTTCCCTCATTATTGTTACGTTACATTAATTTTCCTCTTGAAAACACATTAACAACGAATAATTATTTAGTTGTCGCGAGTCACCGATAATAAAAATATAATAACGTTGTAATTTTCTGTGGTTTGCTATTCTCAGAGATAATAAATTTTTATAAATTGTACAATGCATCATCGATGGCTCCCAGAAGAATTGTTCCTGCTTGAAACTTAGGCACAGCTGGTCACTATTAATTCAGAACTTCACCTACTTCCATCATAGAGCTTCAAACCCCTTATACTAAAAAAACAACAGAAAATCTAAAATATTAAATTTGCAAAATACGATTCGAAATTGTCACGCGTCACCAAATTAAAAATCCTAAAAATCTCTAGTCACCGGACATTCGTCAACTTGGAACACAGCGTCTGTTAAAATTACTATTCAAAGTCGACAATTTCGTCTCTTTTTTACGACACAAATAATTAAACAGTGTCGATTCCACTCCACCAATACAGTACGAATTTACTGTTAATTTAAATGCAACAACTGCTCGATCACTTTTAGACATGAGCCTAAGTGCATCACGTGAGTCCTCCATGGATTACTGGGCTCACGCAACAGAGAATTGAGTCAGGATAGTCGCAGGACCCTCTGAGGGACGGCTGCTGATGTGGTATTTGCGCAGGTGTACGAAACATCGAACGCCAACGTTGTTCAGAGTAGTTGCCCGTTGCATTGTTAGGCAGTTGGATAACTTGAGACACGGTAGAGAGTGTGCGTGGCGTGGTTGCGGCTTAGATCCCAGTTTCTAATCGATGTTGAGGCCTACTAAGGGGTTGCTTCGGTAAGAATTAGGTTTAGTATGATATGCGGTGGATTGCTTGGATAACGAAATTTAACCCTTTCGCTATGGTCGTCTCAGATGAAAAACGATCGCGTAGTTAGCTTAGTTAATTGTCAATTTTTCAACTCCGCGGTCGCATTTTTCGCAGGCATGGTGGGCCTACTGATTGCAATTATTTTTTTGGTAGCGCGCGCTCGGTCAATTATTGTCTAAAAAACGTGTAAATTTTATTCAAGTGAGATTGTTTAAGCTGTGCGTATGTTATTATCGTTTTCCCTCCGTTTTTCTTCAGACAAAAGATCCTCAGAGCGTTCAGAAGGTAAAAACGCGTTGCTGGGAATATCCTGGGGTTCGATCGCAAAGAGTCGAAGAGTGTAATTGATCGATTTGTCTGTTTATCACGACTTAATCACGTCTGGAAATATATATTTTTGAAAATTTTTCCAATTTATGATTGAAAATAATTACCGTTACAAGGTGTATTTTTTAAGTTGTTTTTGGTACTCTGATTTACCTAAGTGGTTAAGATTGTTTCATAGATCTATAGTCTAATTTCATAATCTAATTTATCTATACACTTTGGTGTGTACGATGGTTAAGATTGTTTTGTGTTTAAGTAGTTCTATGTGTTAATGAGGTAATATCTGTTTTTACAGGTGCGAATGGCGACATCGAGGACCTAGATCCAGACGTTCAAGACTATAGTACTGATGAAGATTATAACGATGTTTTTGACTCTACAACCAATGGGTACGTTTCTTTTCTCATGCTAATTTATGCCTTATCGTTTAAGGATATTCGTAATTACGTAATAATTTATACATTCATCGACAAGAATTAATTATTCAGAAATGCAAGATCTAACATACAAATTGTTTAAATTAAAAAAAAAGAAGTAAAAATGATACGCGAAGAAATCGGAAAAAATTCCCCGATACACGTCTCCCTATCTGCAACACGCCAAATTTTTTTCGGAAATTTAAAAAGACGGATGATCCCTGTTTTCACAAATCTCACGAATAAGCGAAGATCGCGACGTTTAAAATTTGAAAACTCACATTACTAAAAGTAGATACAACTGCATTGAAACAACCTTCTACACCCCACGAACGAACCAACAAAACCGTCCCTATCGAAAATCAGGCCACTTGCCCCGGCACCTCATAAAATCACCCCGAAATATTATCGATATCCTCCGCACAAAAACGAGAAACGCCTCCGTGAAAATTACCGTTCTCAGAGTAACCACGTGGAAGGGGGGAGTAAAAAGTTTTCCAACGGAAATGTAGATGTGGAATTAAAAAAAGGGCGGCGAAGACCGCCGGAGAGTGGACGAGGGGGAAGGGTGAGGATTTCATGGGTTTGTATGATGGAAAAGCAGAGCAAGGGGATACCGCGGGGCTTAATAAGGAAGCGGCTCGATTGGTTCGATTCGAAAGCTAATAATGCCACTTCCCGTGCGTCGTAGAACTGCAAAGGCTAAAAGGCGTGATTAAATTTGAATTCTCTCCTTCCTTCTGACAAGCTAATTCGACCGAGGAGGCGTCGATACGGCCAATCGAAATTCCGACGATCGAGCTTCCTCCTAGTCGAAGAATCTCCTCGCGTTTCCTTTCGAGAGTCCCGGATTTCGGAAATGAACAGATTCGCGCAGGAAACGAATATATGTATATATTTGTAGGTAAACGAATTTTGTGCTTTTTGACGGCTAATTTCACTGTGTAAACAGATTTTAAGAAAGTTCCTTCGGTTGATTTCACTGTACACGTGAGGTCTTTGGGTCAAAACTGACCCGCCATGTGGACTTAGACAATAAACTGTTAATACAGTGTGAAGGGAACAGCAAAATATTTTTCATCATCAGCAAGCAAAAGTTATTAAACAAATGAGAAGGCGATGGGTCGAAAAAGACCCGAATACCACACTAGAGTTAAATGATATATTAAAAATTATTACTTTTTCATTTACTTTTATTTACTTTTTGAAATTTATGTGCGTAAACTGCACACTCAAACGTAAAATACGAACGTTGCCTTGTTAAGCTGCGTCTACACTATACAGGGTGAGCCACGTAAAACAAACCACCTAATTATCTTCTCTTAACAACTATGATGGCATAAGAAAATTTGTTTGATCGAACAAATGGCAAAAAATGAAAGAAAGTTTCACATTTGCTTTAAAATTTAAAAATGCACATCAAAGTCTGCTACATATACACTAAACAAATATACACATTCATGTAAAAAAAACATAAATAACTTAGAAACAAAAATAGAAAAAAATGGCATCTATGAAAAAATTTGCCACCGTTTAAATTACCTATAAAAATTGTCTCGTACCACCATAACTACAGAAGATAATTAGATGGCCAGTTTTACGTGACCCACCCTGTACACATAGCGTAGACGCAGCTTCAGGATACCGTAACCTAAATCAAACAGTAATTCAAACAAACTGTCCCATTTTTCGGATACTCTCCCCGTTTTAAGCAACGATCTGACCAGCAAACTCTAGCCGCCCCGCTTTATATACAGTGTGGCGCTGTTGGATTTACATGGGCATGTAATGACGGCGGTAATGCGGCGAACGTGATTGAAATTACGTGTCGTAACCGATCTAAGCGAGAGCATTATGGTTACGATATCGTGCGTGCACGGGTCGGCGACTTTCAGCCAACTACATTATTCCCGAACGCCGCGTGCCTCCATTAATATTGATGCACGCCCGATTCCCCTGTAACCCCTTCAACGAGAGAGATGTCGAGGGGCGAAGCTAACAGAGATGCTGGCAGACGTTGTTACGACACGGGTATTGGCTCCCGAAAGATCCTGCGGGATCAACTTCTTCCCCGGATCAGATCGTGAATATAATCATCGCGGGGTGCATATTCAGACGATTATACCGATCGCCGGAGGATCTATTGTTCGGAGATTTCGTTTCGCGCGAGTGTGGGGGGGATTTATGCGTGTTCCAACGCGTCCCTGAGTAATGTGAATATTCGAAGAATTCGAAACAACGATGTGGAAGAATTTGTCGAACGGAGATGGAGGAATTGATAGAGACTTTGTTGCAAAAACGAGGCAGCTTCGTCATTTGTCGAGACTCGCTATATTTCTTCCACCGACTATACCGATTCGTTACAATCCACCAAAAAATACTTTCAATCCTCGTATTTCCCAACATACCCAAAATCTCAATCAGGGTCTCACGAAGTAGGCCTAAGTTTTAATTTGAATCCTTAGATGTCCCTGCACTTCTTGGGTGTCGCTATACAGTAAATTCTCTACAAGAGTCAGTAAGTTTGGATTCTACAAGTGACAATATAGATGGTCCTACGCCTAGGCTGCATCATTGCTGCGCCCATGTTATCTCGCTCGCAGTCAGTCAAGAGTGGTAGGCTACACCAATCGGTTTCTTTTACGAGATTTCACGGCTGGACAATTCATAATAGAAAAATATAATTTCTTTAA